AAAAAAAACATAACTTCGACGTTTCAAATCATTATCAAATTTGGAACAAGGGCAAATAAAATAATGTTCTTTGTGGCAGCTTTTCTCTTTAAGGGGTCACTAGAAAAACGGGTGATTTACTTTGATCCTATTTTTAAAAATTGTCTCTTCAGAACTCATCAACAAAAATTAAAAACTCAAAGACGAGGCTGTAGCAAACTACCTGACGTCAGCACGCTTTGTTGAAATACGTAGAAATAACGAAGAAGGAGGAAATAACAAGGAAACGCACAGAGCAGCCTTCCAAAATCTGGTCACARCAGTTTGGGAAGAAAATGGCAGCATCTGCTGACGAAATGTCAACATCCCTACARGTTGCAYGATTGGGAGATTGCGAAAGAAATATATGTTAAAAATTCTCTAATAAGTTCCAGTCCTAAGATATTTGATGTGCGAGCTGATCATCAGGCAGCAGCTTTCTACGGGAAATAAGTAGTTATTAGAACATTTTCACAGCTGCAGCTATATTGAGTAAATTCATATACAGTATGCCAACAAAGTGGTAACCATAAGTTTGTTTTGGAGCTTTACTCAAATCTTGCTGCACGGTTTTAAAACGAAATTCCTTGTATGGATATTTCTGTACTGCACTTGAATGTCTGCGCAGACACTGTTGTCTCTTTCCTATATTTATTGTTGCTTGCTCCGATCGTAGACTTTGAGGATAAAGCCCTCGAGAAGCCCCTGAAGATCAAGCTGAAAGTTGGAGGAAGTGAGGTGACGGAGCTCTCCGGTTCGGGCCTCGACTATGACGACCGGTCGGACCACGAGCGAGAACGCCACAAAGAGAAGAAGAAAAAGAAGAAGAAGAAGTCTGAGAAAGATAAATATGTGGACGACGAGGAGAGAAGGCGGCGGAAGGTCAGTACTCGGTCCGCGCGATGAGCTGCGTCGTTTGTTAGCTTTGTTTGAAAATGGTCTCGCCGGGCAGGAGGAGAAAAGGAAGAAGAGAGAACGAGAGCAGAACGAGTCAGAGGCAGCAGCTGCCGCCTGTAGTGGAGCACCCGTTGAACCGTTCACACTGTCAAAAACTATAAGTATCTCATTAGAGGTGAGAAAAAAACACAATTAAAAGCGATAACCTCTTTTTGATTTCATCATACTTAATGTTGTTTAAATTCTGTTTGTATTTCATCAGCCAGAAGAGAAGAGAAAAAAGAAAGAGAGGTTAGAAGCAGAGCCTGAAGTGGAAGAGTTTCACCCCAGTGTGAAGGTGGAAGTTGAACAACAAGGAGACCGACCRGTTAGATCATGTCGAACGCAACAAGGCAAGGCCGGCGTATCAACAATTCAGATATTTCCTGTTCATCACTTGTAGACGTGTCTGGTAAAGGTTTATATTTCCCACATGCAGAGAACGAGTCCACCCCTCGTCAGCAACTGCTCGAACACTTTCTGAGGCAGCTGCAGAGGTGAGAAACACAGATTTACTCCGATGTGTTGGTCTGTTTTTGTTGAGTTTCTGTGATGTTACACAAACACTTATTGTACTTATTACTTACATTTGTTGCAATATGCTATCAGTGTTAACACATTTATTTTTATGTCACAAAATAGGTGTTTCCAAAAAGGAATGACCTGTTTRATTTCTGTAGTGTTCTTCTTTCCTAAACCAATCCTCCAAATAGCTGTTTGCAKGCTATTTGTAAAACGCAGGACCCGTTAAAAGGGATCCCTGATWAGWTGTAACGTTCGACTTTATTTGATAAACATGTATTTKAACTGTAAAATAAAGACTAAAAATACTGTAGGATGTTCAGTTTTTATCATTTTTAAACTAAAAGAATATAAATCTATTACACGGACTGAGCCATTTTATTTTCATGCAAAGCATTCTGGGTAAATGATGACGTGGATAGGTCCTCGGTGCGAGGCTGCTAGCGAGCTATATCCACCCTGAAGGTTAATCTTGGACAATATCTGATGATCGACTCTTTTAAATGAAACCAGAGAGCGTTGACAGAGAGGAGAAGGTAGAAATGACTCAGCCTGGAACTGAAAATATGGATGGAGGACAACAGAGCTGCTTCATGGAAGAAGAACCTCAGCTTAGCCTGTTAACTGTAGCTTTAGCGCTGATGCTATATTGCCTTATATGTATTAGCTCGGCGCTAGCATGACTAACACTCTAAACTGAGGTCATTTTTGTGTTCCCCTCTCTAATGTGGATGTGGATGGAGGACCTCGGTGACGAGAGGAGAATGTGTAGCACTGAGCTAATACATACAGTTTATATGGTGATAGTGTCAGGGCTAACGCTAAAGCTAATAAGCTAAACTGTTTTCCTCCATCCATATTTTCAGTTCCAGGCTGAGTCATGCCTATGTGTTTTGAAAGTTATAAAATGAGGAAAAGTGGAATCTAAATGTTAACTACGTGTTCTAACCGATCAAAACAATGCACAAGGTTCATTTATGCAGATGGTATTAACTTTACACATGCCGTGGTGCAGTAAGAGGAGAACACACCCACTGGAAGCTCAAACAAGTCTGAAAGCTGCTGTCGATGATTAAAACGATGCTACATCTCTTGACTTTTCAGAAAAGATCCACACGGATTCTTTGCATTCCCTGTGACGGACGCGATCGCTCCCGGTTACTCGTCCATCATCAAACATCCGATGGACTTCAGCACCATGAAAGACAAGATTAGAAACAACGAATACAACACAGTAACTGAATTCAAGGTGAGGATACAGTTTCATCTTCAAAACAAGAGACAGGATGGAGGCTGACTCATATGTGGTGAAACCTGTTTTTCTTTTTGCCTCCAGGCGGACTTTAAGCTGATGTGTGACAATGCCATGGTCTACAACCGACCAGAGACCGTTTACTACAAGGCTGCAAAGAAGCTGCTTCACACAGGATTCAAGATGATGAGCAAGGTACCGTGTTAAAAAATGAAAACAAATCATACTGAAATGTTTTAATGCAGCTCACTTTATAACACTTCAAATAACACTGTTGCAGTTCTTGCCTTATGACTTCTCACTTAATTTTGGAAATCATTAGTTGTTGTGCAACTCTTCTTCTCCAGCAAGTCGGTCAATATTAAACCCAAGCTCCACCAGAGTCTTTAAAAACTCTGGAGACTGAAAAGTCTAAAAACTTTGAGTTTATTTTAAAGCCTTTAAAGCGAGGGGTCAAACCCAGTCACACAAGGTAGACCAAGTTCCAAACTTGGTCCAAGCCAAGCTAACAAAATATTCTTATAGAAATGCATATTATCTTTACCAAAGTATACACATGTGGACAAAATTGTTGGTACCCCTCGTTTAATGAAAGAAAAACCCACAATGGTCCCAGAAATAACTAGAATCTGACAAAAATAATAATAAGTAAAAATTCTATGAAAATGAATAAATGAAAGTCAGACATTGCTTTTCAACCATGCTTCAACAGAATATATATATA